AGGTGGGGTTTGGGGGGCAGCACAGCAGGGGTGGGATTGGGAGCAGGCAGTGGGGTCTGGCACAGGGGTTTGGGGACAGGATGCAGGGTGGGGGTCAGGCCCAGGGTCGGGGGGCTGCACAGGGGTTGGGGACAGCTGTGAGGGCCGCGGGCCCCCCCAGGCCCCTAGCCCCTCTAGGCTTCGTATTTGCAGACGAAAGGTTTGCGCTCGCCACAGGCCTCGCCCTCCCAGGCCATGAACCCTGCAGGGACACGAGCCACCGCTGGGACAGGGGACATGTGGGACACTCTGACAGCCCCAGAGCCCCCGGACACCCCCAGTCCCTCCCTGACCCTCCCTGGCACTCCCTGCCCCCCCAAGCCTTGTGTCCCCCCACCAGCTGAGTCCTCCAGTGTGGCACAGGGCTGTCCCCAGGCCATTGTCCCCAGCCCTGGCTCCCAGTGCCCCCCTGACCTGCCGAGTCCTCCAGGGCGATGCAGGGATGTCCCTTGGGGCCATCGTCCCCCTCCCAGGCCCAGTAGTGCCGCGGGGACCCGTCAGCCCAGAGCCAGCCCTGGCGCTGTGACAGGGGCAGAGGGACACAAGGTGAGACAGGGGCACAGGGGGACAGGGGCACAGGGGCACAGAGACACAAGGATAGCAGACAGGCAGCACTGCAGGGCGCGGTCAGGACACCGGGATGGGACACGAAGGTGTGGCAGGGCGCGGTCAGGGCAGGTTGGGGCGCAGGGGGGACAGGTAGCGCTGCAGGCAGGGGTCAGGCAGGGGACACCAGGATGGGACATCAGGGTGTGGCAGGCAGGTACAGACAGGCACGGCTCGCTCAGGCCACGCACCCGCCGGTGCAGCCCGATCCAGACGCTCTCCTCCTTGTCCCTCTCCCTCTCCCTCTCCTTCTCCCCCTCCTCGTCGTCCTCTCCCCGCCGCGGCCGCCGGGCGATGAAGGCGGCGAGCGCCCGGTGCTCCTCGGGGCTGTGCAGCGACGCCAGGTGGCCCCCGCGGGTGGCCTGGCACCACGCCTGGGGACAGCGCCACGTGCAGCGGGGTCCTGGGGGTTTGGGGGACCCCCGGAACCCCCCATTCCCCCACAGCACCCACCTCAGCCCTCCTCCAGCTCAGCTGCTGTCCGAAGTAGCCATAGCAGTGTCCCTCGAAGGACAGCCACCCCCGGGGACACCTGGTGGCCTGAGCCCCTGGGGGGGACAGGGGTGTCACCGTGACGCCCCCAAACCCAGATGGGATCCCGCGGTGGGGGGGGATTTGGGGGATCAGGGCACCTCCGGCCCTGTTTGGGGGGCTGAGGTTGTGGGAAAAGGTTGGGGGTGGGAAGCAGAGGGTGGGCAGAGGGCACTTTGGGGGTCACAGGGTGTGGGTGGGGGATCTCTGTGAAATGTGGGGGTCTCAGGGTGCAGTCTGGAGGATTAGGGTGCAGTTGGGGTGTCTCAGGGTGTGGGCAGGAGGGTCTCAGGGTGCAGTTTGGGGTCTCAGGGTGCAGTTTGGGGAATCGGTGCAGGAGGAGTTTCAGGGTATAGTTTGGGGTCTCAGGGTGCAGTCTGAGGTCTCATGGCACAGTTTGGGGTCTCAGGGTGCAGTTTGGGGAATCGGTGCAGGAGGAGTTTCAGGGTATAGTTTGGGGGATCAGGGCGCAGTTTGGGGGATCAGGGTGCAGTTTGGGGTCTCACCCGGCAGGGAGGGGGGCAGCACCAGGCAGCCCAGCAGGCAGAGCCCCAGGAAGGCGGCAGGACCCATCCTCAGCCTTCCTGCAACGGGGGGGCTGCAGGGGCGGGGGGAGCGGCCAGCTCTCCCCAGCACCTCCCCCAGGACCCCCCCAGAGCCCCAGGACCCCCCCCAGTATCGCCAGGACCCTCCCCAGCACCTCCCCCCAGGACCTCCCCAGCGCCCCCGGCACCTCGCAGCTGCCGCAGCGGCCCCGGCTGAGCGGGACAGGGACACCCCGAGCCCTTTATAGGCCCGAGCGGGGGTGGCTGCGGGGGGGCCGGGCCGGGAGCACCCGCTCGTGGAGCCGCTGGCACCGCATCAAAGGGACCGCTGACGCTGGCACCCACCCGGGCCACTCCCCCGGGCACCCCCGGGCACCCATCCCGGCCCCCCGAGCGCTGCCCCCGCTCTTGGGGTGCCGGGGACCCCCGGGGGGAGCGGGCTACGCTGGCGGCACCGCGGGGCCTCTTGGTGTCGCCGAGGTCACCCGGGGGTCCCTGGCGGGCTCTGGGGTCGCCCCTCGGGGGAATGGGGGTCACCCACCGGCGTGGGGGCTCGGCTGGGCCACGGGCGCGGCTCCGTGTGAGCCCCCGGGACGAGCACGGAGCTGGGAGGGGACACAGGAGGGGACAGGGGCCATCCCCGGGGACAGGGGGGTGAAGGTGCCGGGGGGTGCCGGGCTAGGGTGCGGTCACATGACCGAGCGCTGCAGGGATCTGATAAGGGATCTGATAAGGGGTCTGATAAGGGATCTGCTCAGGGAGGGGGAGCGGGCGCGGCTGCGGCGGACACGGACCAAGGGACACCAACTGAGGGACAGACAGAGGGACATGGGCCAAGGGACACGGACCGACGGACACGGACAGAGGGACAGACAGAGGGACAGACAGAGGGACACGGACCGAGGAACATGGACCGAGGGACAAAACAAGGACAGACCGAAGGACACGGACCCAGACACCCAGACGGCCACTCGCGGTCCGGGGTCCCAGCGCAGCCCACGCAGCACCCAGCGGTGACCCCGGCGACCCCACGGCACCCGGGAGAGTCCAGTGCCACCTCTGAGACCCCCGGCCGTGGGGGCTCCGCGGAGGACACGGCCCCAGCGTGGGGACAGCGGGCACCCGATGTGGGGAGGGGTGGGGGCTGTCACCCCCATGTGGGGTCGGGATGATGGATGTCACCCCCATATGGGGTGGGGGTGCAGGACGCAGCCCTGGTGCCGGGGGTGACAGTGACCCTACGGGACGCTCCCCAGGCGGGGGGATGCCCGCGGGGGCGGGGTCTCTGTCCCTGTCCCCGGCCTGGACCCTCTCCCAGAAGGGTCTTTGTCCTTGTTCCCTGTCTGTGCCCTCTCCCGGGGGATCTCTGTCCCTGTCCCACCCTGGCCCTTCGCCGGGGGATGTCCCCTGTCCCTGTGCCCTCTCTGTCCCCTCTGACGAGTGGCCCCTGATAGTCTGGACCCTCTCCCGGCGTTGTCCTCGGTCCCTGTGCCCGTCCTGTCCCCTCTCCCGCCGGTGTCCCCTGTCCCTTCCGCCGGGGGTGTCCCCAGTCTCCGTGCCCTGTCTGGCCCATAGCCTGGGGTTGTCCCCGGTCCCTGTCCGTCCTGTCCCCTCTCCCGGGGTGTCCCCAGCCCCCGTGCCCGGCCTGGCCTCTCTCCTAGGGGTGTCCCCTGTCCCTGTCCCCTCTCCCGGGGTGTCCCCAGCCCCCGTGCCCGGTCTGTCCCCTCTCCTAGGGGTGTCTCCTGTCCGGAGGGAGGGAGGGGATGGTGCCAGCGCGGTGCCACCCGGGGCGCGGCGACCCCCAGGCCGGACGACAGAGGGAGGCTCTGCGCAGGGCCCTGCGCAGGGCCCGTCCGTGCCGCCGTGCCCCGCTGCGCACCCCCGTCACCGGCAGGGGATGGGCACGGGGCCGGGCACGGAGAAACGGCACGGGGACAGGCACGGATCACCGGGATGGGAGCGGATCCGGGGATGGGCGCAGAGCACCGGGACGGGCACAGATCACCGGGAAAGAGACAGGAACGGGTATGGGTACAGGGATGGGGACGGGGCCAGGGATGGGAGCAGATCACCGGGATGGGGACGGGCACGGATCACCGGGATGGAAGAGGATCTGGGGATGGGCACGGATCACCGGGATGGGCACGGATCACCAGGACGGGCACGGAGCCGGGAATGGTTAGGGATCTCCAGGATGGGGATGGGCAGGGGGATGGGCACGGATCATTGGGACGAGCATGGATGCGGGAATGGCCGCACGTCACCGGGATGGGCATGGATCACCGGGATGGGACTGGGTACAGACCACCGGGGTCACCGCCTCAGGGACGGCCCTTTTGATGCCTTCACCGGCGGTGGCTGGTGCCCACCGGGCCCCCCCTGAGGACCCCACGTGGATCCAGCCCTGGCACCCCATGGATGCCCCCCGGCATTCCATGGATCCAGCCCTGGCACCCCACGGATGCCCCCGGGGGTCCCACCCAGCGGCACAGCGGGGTCACACCAAGAGCCTTTATTGGGAGCAGGTCCGGGGCAGCGACCCCCGGCCCCCGCAATCCCGGGAGCCCCGCGGCCCCCCCGGTCACTTCCCGGCCGCGGCGGGGGGTTTGTCGAAGAGCGCCGCGATGTCCAGCATGGCCTGGCGGATGTTGCGGCCGAAACGCTGCGAGTCCTGCGGGCAGCGCCGCTCAGAGCCCGCCCGGACCCCCGGGGGGCGCCCGGACCCCCCCAGGGGGGGATCTGAATGCCCAGAGTGAGACCCGAACCCCCTCTGCCCACCCTGGGGCACCCCCGGAGCTGTGGGAGCCCCAGCACGGCCTGCACCCCAGAGGGGGTGACTGGGACGTGGGGAGGGTCCCAGAGGAGGGGACTGGGATGGGGTGGGGGTCCCACAGGAAGGGAGGGGCAGGATGCAGCAGGGTCAAGATCAGAGTCAGGGGCTGTCCCAGACCCACAGGTGACCCCACAGGTGACCCCACGGGCAGCGACTGCAGCTCTGGGAGAGCCCCCCCGCCCCCCGTGCCCCCCTCACCGTCTCGGGGCTGGAGAACTTGCTGGACACGTGGAAGGTGATGAGGTTCTCCCCGGCGATGATGTAGGACACCCCATAACCATCGTCTGCCACCTGCGGGGGGCACAGGGGCCATGGGGCACCTGGGGGCACCCACCCGGGTGTGGGGTCGGGCTGAAGCCACCCGGGTCACCCATGTGGGGCTGGGGGCTCCGGTGTGGGGCACCCCCAGCCCAAACCCACGGGGTGGGGGGGAGCACTACGGACCCCAGAGCCACTCCCACACCCGCTGCCCCCCTCCCGCTGCCCCCCGGTGCCCCCCGGAGCTCACGGGGCCGAAGCCGCCGCCGCTGGAGACGTGGTCGGGGAATTCCTCGAAGTCGAACATCTTGAGCTGCTGCTGCGGGGTCTGGCTGGTGGAGAGGCGCCAGGGCTCCGCCAGCACCTGTGGGGACACTCGCTGAACCCGGGGCGCCCCGCTGTGCCCCGGGCACCCCGGGGAACCCCACTGCGCCCCAGGGCACCCCAGAGCACCCCGGGGAACCCCACTGTGACCCAGGGAACCCCACCGTGCCCCACTGCCCCCAGCCCCAGAGCGGGACTCCACGTGCGGTGACACCAGGGCGGGTGGCAGTGTCCCCGCTGTGCCCTCCCGTGCCCCTCCCGGTGCCACTCTGTGTCCCCCCGTGCCTTCCTATGCCCCCTTGCCCGTGTCCCACAGTGGTTCTCTGTGCTCCCTCCCTGTCCCCCCCGTGTCCCTCAGTGCCACCCTCGTGTGCTGCTCCCACACTGTCCCTCGTGTCCCTGTCCCGTGTCCCCTGTACCCTGTCCCGTGTCCCCGTCCCCTGTCCCCCCGCGCTGACCTTGGCCAGGAAGGGGCTCTGCATGCCGAGGTACCGGGACATCAGGTAGAGGCAGAAGAGGTGGCGGTCGATGCCCGCGCCGGTCATGGCCAGGCGGTAGAGCTGCTGGTGCTTCTCGGCCGCCGCCTTGAACAGCTGCTGCCGCTCCGAGCGCTGGGTGAACCCCAAAATTACTGACACCCCAAATTAACTGACACCCCAAATTAACTGACACTCCAAACCTGCACCCCAAACTGAGCCCCGGCACAGCCCACAGATCTGCACCTTGAACAGCTGCTGCATCTCTGAGCACTGGGGGCCAGGGGGTGAACCCCAAAATTACCGACACCCCAAACTGACACCGCAAACCTGCACCCCAAACCTGCACCCCGAACTGAGCCCAAACCTGAACCCCGGCACAGCCCCCAGATCCGCACCTTGAACAGACACTGCCACTCTGAGCACTGGGGGGCCCGGGGGGGCTGGGCTCCAAACTGAACCCCAACACACCCCCAGACCTGCACCCCAAACAGAACCCGAACCTGCACCCCAAACATGCACCCCCAGTCTGCACCTTGAACAGTCGCTGCTGCCCCTCTGCACTCTGGAGTGGGGTCAGGGGGGCTGCACCCCAAACTGCACCCCAAACAGGCCCCCAGCCCCCGTGAGGGACGGGGACCCCCCGAGTGGCGGGGTGCCGGTGTCCCGGTGGCACTCACGCTGCGCCGGCTGTCGGCCATGCTGCGCACGAAGGCCGTGGACTCGGAGGTGCAGGAGCGCACGGTCTCGGTGCGGCCCTCGCGGAACAGCCGCGTCATGGAGGCCTCGTAGGTCAGGCAGAAGGAGCCCTTGTCCTGCGGGCATGGGCCGTGGGGACACGGCACGGGCCCAGCTCGTCCCGCTGCCGCTCACCCCCGCCTCGTCCTGGCCACGGCCCGCCTGGCACATCCCATCCTTCCCGGGTCCTGCGCCATCCCATCCCACCCCAATCCCACCCCATCCCACCCCAATTCCATCCCATCCCACCCCAATCCCACCCCAATTCCATCCCATCCCATC